CAAGCACTGTGGGCAGTCTATCTGAAGTGTACCTGGCGTATAAGACGACCCCCCACTTGGAGGCATATTTTTCAGGGCCAAAAAGTCGTCTTATACGCCGGCAAATACGGTAGTCAAATTCCTAGAGACAGAAAGTAGAATGGTGGTTGCCTGGGGCTGGAGTGGGGGAGGGAATGGGGAGTTAGTGTTGAATGGGTGGAGAGTTTCAGTTTAGGAAGATGAAAGTTCTGAAGATGGGTGGTGATGGTGGTTGTACAACAATGTGAAGGTGTTTAATGTTACTAAACTGTACGCTTAAGAATGGTTAAAATGGCAAATTTTATGTTATATACATTTTACCAATAAAAAAGAAAACAAGAGCATATGAAAAGATGTTCCACATCATATGTCATCAGGGAAATGCAAATTAAAACAATGAGATACCACTTGTGACACACCTATTAGAATCGCCAAAATCTGAAACAATGACAACACCAAATTTTGGTGTGGACGTGGAGCAACAGGAAGTCTCATTCATCGCTGGTGAGAATGCAAAACGGCACAGCCACTTAGGAAGACCGTTTGGCAGTCTCATAAAATTAGACAACTCTTACCATACAATTAAGTGATCACACTGTTTGGTATTTACCCCAAAGGAGATGAAAATTTATGTTCACACAAAAACCTACATGATAGCAGTTTTATTCATAATTGTCAAAAGTTGGAAGCAACCACGATGCCCTTCAGTAGGTGAATGGATAAATAAATTGTGTTGTACCCAGACAATGGAATATTATTATTATTCAGGGCTAAAAAGGAATGAGCTATCAAGTCATGAAAAGACATGGAAGAAACTCACATGCATATTACTGCGTGAAAGAAGCCAATCTAAAAAGGCTATATATACTGTATGATTCCAACTATATGACATGCTGGAAAAGGCAAGACGATGGAGACAGTAAAAACATCAGTGGCTGCTAAGGGTTGGGGGGATGGGAGGAGCACAGAGGATTTTTAGGGCAGTGAAAATACTGTGTGATACCATAGTGATGGATACATGTCATTATATTTTTGCCAAAACCCATAGAATGTACAACGCCAAGAGTGAAGCCCTCATGAAACTATGCGCTTTGGGGGATTATGAGGTGTCATGTAGGTTCACTAACTGCAAGAAATGTACCACTCTGAGGCTGTTGATAATGGGAGAGGCTGTGCATGGGTCGGGGCAGGGAGCACACAGGAAGTCTCTGCACCTTCCGCTCAGTTTTGCTGTAAACCTAAAACTGTTTAAAAAAAAAAGTCTTTTAAAAACAGAAAAGGCATTACACAGAATCTAATCAAGGCTCCAGTCTTTACTTTTAGTTTATAAGAAATGCAGGGGCTAGAGGAAGGAAGGTGGATGGCCCCCCAAGAAAACAACCAGATAATTCTAGAGAATGCGACCTTTCCGACCTTCCACAAGACAACTGTCCCAGCATCAGCAAAAAGTCAACATTGTTAAAAAAAAAAAAAAAAGTGGATAAGGACAGTTAAGGTTAAAGGAGCTGTAAGAGACATAAAAGCCAAATGAGTACAATATGTGGACTTTGATTGAATCCTAATTTTGAAAAACAGCTATAAAAGACCTTTCAGGGTAAAATGGGGAAATTTAAATAGTAGAGGACATTAGGGCTTTATTGTTGGTTGTCTTAGGTTTAATAAAGACTTTAAGAGTATGCAGGAGGATGCCTGTCCTTAAGAGATGTACACTAAAGAATTTAAAGCTGGAGTTCATGATGAGCTTACTTTCCAAAGAGTTCATGTTCAGGGGAAACATATATGTGTGTGTATGTGTTGTGTATATATAGCAGATATGTGTGTATGTGTGTATATATGTATGTGCATATGTATCTATGTGTGGATGTGTAGCATGTGCATGTGTATGCATATATATATTTGTGTACAGTATGTGTGTGTGTTTGTGTGTATATGTGCATTTAGATGCATGTGTGTATATCTATGTGCATGTGTGTGTATATTAATATCCCAAAGAGAGAAAAGGAGAGACAAAGCAATTATGGAAACCTGTTAACGAAGTTGCAGCCAGGTGGTGGATATTTCTGGTGATGGTTGATCTGCTCTAACAACTTTTCTGAACATTTAAAACATTTCATAGTAAACCCATGGGGAGAAAAGAAGAAATATTTTTTACATATGAAGCTGCCTTGTGAAAACTGGGCCATGTCTGGAGGATTGTGAGTGAGAGATGGAGAACTGGTGGCCTTTCATCTGAACTTGGGGGTTTCTTACGTGGGGCCCTCCAGGGCAGAGGCTCCTCCATGAGGTGTGCTCAGGGGCTCCCCCC